ACGAAAGAAAAGGTCCAGTCGGCGAAGATATTTCACTGATGCTACCAGATGGAATTGGCTGAAGTTTTTTACAGGAAGTCATAAGAGATATAGGAGAGTACAGTATAAAAAGCAAGTAAAATAGGATCATTCTAGCATTTACATGATTTTTTACTGCAATTAAGCAGGTATTATTAGTACTGTTGTTTGTCAAGGAATAATGAGTCTTTTAGAATGTAATACATAGAAAAGAAAACAAAGATGTAGATAATTCTCAATTAGCATGTATATATGGTAAAAAAACTGAGCTCCTGCCTTTGTTTAACATTACATTTGTATGCCTTTGCATAATTTCTGCTTTAATTTCCTTATGTTATAAATCAGTGAAAGTAATCTATGCATTGATGCATTTTTTGTCTGTCTCAAAACATAACTCCTCCGTTAATTGAAATTTATATCCAAACAAAACCTATGTTATTGTTATCATTTTAGTGTGACCGTTTTTTTCTTGAACTAGTATAATGCCTGTGGTTCCAATTGGTTATATGAGGGCTATGAGTCTATAACTAGTGTTCAATCCGCGTGGTTTATTGGTGGTGGTGATAATAGCCTTTCATTGATGTAAACTGTAAAGTTTCCCAATTTATGCAGTCTTATTGTATAAGTTATAATAGTATAGCTAATGATTGTGATTCTTGTATGATAGAAATTGCAACTCGAAAATTGAGTTTTTACTCTTTAAGGAAGATTGAAATGCTAGAAGATGGAATATGTTCATTTTTTGCTGTCATTTAAATAGTTAAGGACATTTTGTTGAAGATATTGTATTGCATTGGACCACATAACACCATTTCAGACTTTCAGTGTAGTAAGAAAATAGAGGGTAACTATTGAAAATTTCCCAATAAAAAAAAAAAAAAAAAAAAAACAGAGTATAATGAACTCCGTACATACATTTTGCCGCTCAAAAACAGACATTCAATTCTCTTGCTCTGAAAAAACATTGAAACCTCTGTTTTGCCAAAAAAAAAAAAAAAATTCACTCTTTCCACTGATAAAACGAATTGAACCCATTCATTTTCATCTTTGAAGATCGTAAATTTTATGGCAAGCAAGAAGAGAAAGTTGGAAGAAGATGACCACAAGACTGATCAAGTATCTGAACCCATCACCTCTGCTGTAAGATTTTCTACTCATATTCTTAGAATCTTGCTGTTTTTCTTCAATTATTTTCTGCATTTTCGATTTTCTGGGTTGATTAGATATTCTGTATTGCTTATTAATGGTGGATTATGAGAGTACATTAATTAAGAGGGTTTTAAATTATTGGTTCATTTAACTTTGTCATACTGTAGAACAATTTCTTGGTATAAATCTTGTTACAAATTATGAATGTATTCCAATTTAATGGGTTACTTATACCTTCTGAACTAGTGAACAATCGCGGATTAAAAGGAAAAAGTAAATGGGGTTTGATTTGTTGGATCATTTAATGAGACATACATTCTGTCTATTTCTTGGTGGGTTTTTTAGCTACTGATTTTTTTGAGGGTTGATTGATTTCTGGGTATTTCAGTCGAATTCAATGGGTGTTATTGAATCAAGCAGCCGATTCGAAGCTAGGATGGAGGAACACAGAGAAGCTCAAGTTCAACCTGAAGGTAGAGGTAGCTACTATAAGTAATCAATGATATCATGTCAAATTCTTAATAATTTGTCACTCTTTCTTAGTAACAAGTATATGTTATGAATATAGCTTTATAAAACTAAACTAAGTTTAGGTAAGGGTCAATAAGCTCGGATAAGGCCTAATAAGTACAGATAAATGACGTCAATAAATTTGACTGCGGATATGCAGATTCTATTCCCTTGGGTACTTCAGTAGTAGGAGCAATTCATCAGAAATTTGACTGCGGATATGCAGTCTCTTTCAAAGTAGGACAGCAACTGCTGAGGGGAGTAATTTACCATCCTCCTGATAAGCAATCCTCTTCGACTGAAGGTCTTAGCGCGGCAATGGCAGCTACTACGAGTAATCAATTCTGTAGTGGTTCTCTGACTCAACAAGGATCAAGTTCAAATTCTGGTTTCAATCGAGCCCCATTGCGTCAGTCGCGGCGTGGCAGGCCTCGTATAGGTTCTCTGCTTCAACCAGGATCGAGTTCAATTCCTGCTTTTGAACAAGCCACATCATATCAGTTGCTACCGTGTTTTGGTTCTCTGTATCAACCAGGATCAATTTCAAATCCTGCTTTCAATCGAGATGCAGCATATCAGTTGCAACAACATTACCCATTTAGTCCTAATGTTAATCAGTTGGGATCTGTATTTCCTGATTCAGGTATGCTTGAGAGCCTTATGCACTTTAATAATTTAAAATTCGACTTAATTTTCAACAGGAAGCTGCTAGGCATACACTTGACAGGATTAGGCTAACAGCATATGGTGGTAGCAAGAAATTCATATTTTCGCTTTTAAGCGACTAATACTTGTTTTTCTGCTTATGAATAAGTTATGAATCTTATGTTATCGGGTAAATGTACAGGTCGACAATGGATTATTTTTTCTCGGAGTGATGAAGTGCAGCAAAATCCCCTTCCACCATGTAGTACTCAAGGGCCTCACACTCAGTTGATGAAAACGCCGGTCTGTTTTTTTATTATTGACACAAGTATATTAAGAGTAAAAAAACATGTATCATATTGTTTTAATAATGTTGAAAAGGCGAACATGAATGAAGAACAGCAGATGTATGCTAGACTTCTAGTAGAGATGCATTTCCTTGTGAACTTATGTAGTATTTTTCTATGCAATGCACCATTATGAAACCACGTCACTCATGAAATTTGTATTCGAATCCTGTGCTACATTGTATATGCAATGCACTATCCTGTCACTCATGAAAGTTGTTAAAAGTCTTTTCTTTGAATTATATTTGATCCTATGCTTCTTTGTATATGCAATGCACTAATATAGAAAGGTTAGCCGAGAATAATCTATTCTGTTACTTTCTTGTGTTTTGCATGGCAGTTTCGGAATTCTAAGCTAAAGGTTCTTCTGGAGAATAGGGAAAGGGATAGGATTTTTCTATCTGTAGTGGATGGTCTCATAGCTCGATGTCATAGTCTGGAAGCTGAGTTACGTGGTTTGAAGCTGTCAAGGTTATCACTGCGCCCAAATTTAACAGTGCAAGCAACAAAAAGTACTTCAACTAATGTTCTGCTTACGGCGGCTGATCAAGGTGGTGAAAAAAGAAGTCAAGTTCAGTGGATAAACGTCGAGTTACCTAATGTGATGCAATCAGAACCGAGACCAAATCCAAGTTTTCCAATGCAGGAAACACGAAAGAGAAAATCAGAAAAATCTATTGCTTCAGTTGATATATTGCCTTCTACTGGTGTAGTAGGTTTTCTTCAGGGAGGCAGAAGTACTTCAAGTAATGCTTTTGCTTTGCTCGCGAGAGATTTTAAAGATGGTGAAAACAAAGGTGATTTTGGTAAAAGAACTGGGAGTGGTCCTGGTTCGACCTCAGGAAATATCACTGCCGATGATGAGTCCAACAGACCAGTCGTCAGTACAGCAGGGCAAGTATTATCTGCTAGTGATACAGAATCAGACGAATTACAAGGTTTCAAGAAGAATGCTGATACTTCCCAAAAAGGCAACACTGTGATGGATCACCTTATGACCCGACCCATACAAGTGTATACCCGGAGGTCCAAAGGTAGCAAGCCAAGAGTCATCATTGGTCAAGAAGTCAGCAACAACAACAAAGATCAAGAGGACAAAACCCATTAAGAAGCAACTAAGGAAAACAAGCAACAAAGCTTCAATTATGTCTAAATATGGTTTTGCTATTTAGGCTAATGTTCACATGTATCAACCTAGGGTTAAATTTTATAAGTATGGTAGTAAACTTAGTAGTATGTATCCAGAAATTAAGTGAGGAAACACATAAAGAGTTGCAACCTCAAGTTGCTAGGAGATTTGTAGCCTCAAGCTACTACCCCTTGTAATCGTTCAACCATTAGCAATCAAATATTCAAGCTTTTAGTCTTAATTTACTGTTAATTGTGCTTAATCTCCTTGAGGGAAATCTGGTCCACTCCATGAAATGCCAATCTGCGATAATATTGCAGAAGATGAAGATCTTGAGGCATTCTTCAGTGATCATTTTCACTTCTTGGAACTTTAATTCGGTGAATGTATTTCAAATATTTGTAGCTTAATGTCACTATGTCTCTAGCCGATTTCATACTGTTCTAATGCTATCAGATGGAGTTGACTGAATTTTTTTACAGGAAGTCAGAAGTAAATATACGAGAGTACAGTATAAAAAGCAAGCAGTACAGGACCTTTCTAGCATTTACATGATTGTTTACTTCAATTAAGCAGGTTTTATTTGTATTATCTTTCGCTAAGGAGTCTTTTAGTATATAATACACAGAAAAGAAAACAAGAATGTGGATGGTACTCAATTAACATGTATGGTAATAGCTATTAGATGGTTCCTGCCTTTGTTTGGATATCTATTATGTAAGCCTTTGTTACTATAAATATTACTCAAATAAACATTCACGCGACTATGTTAATAGCTATACACGGCAAATTATGGTTATAACACTCAGAAATTAAGAGCAGGTATGAATCTATATATGAAGCGTTTGAAAGCTAAGCTAAAACATCTCAACCAAACATTTGAAGGTTTATAGGATTGAACTCGATGACATCTTGCTTGTAATAAGTTAAAATAACGCGACTTTCCATATATAATTGATCAAAAAAAGATAGTTTAAAGGTTGTAAGCCCCGTTTAGGTAGGTTCGGAAGAACCCAAGTGAATAACTGTAACAATCGGCCACAAACAATGAAGGTTTATAGGATTGAACTCGATGACATCTTGCTTGTAATAAGTTAAAATAACGCGACTTTTCATATATAATTGATCAAAAAAAGATAGTTTAAAGGTTGTAAGCCCCGTTTAGGTAGGTTCGGAAGAACCCAAGTGAAAAGATAGTTTAAAGGTTGTAAGCCCCGTTTAGGTAGGTTCGGAAGAACCCAAGTGAAAAGATAGTTTAAAGGTTGTAAGCCCCGTTTAGGTAGGTTCGGAAGAACCCAAGTGAATAACTGTAACAATCGGCCACAAACACTTCCGTAGAAGATCCATAAGAGCTCCACACTCGTCTTAGCGCCGATTCACACGAATGCAAATCTGGATCTCCCATCGTAAAGCACACTCGTTTCCGAGGCCCACATCTCTGTGGTTTTTTAGCCCGGGGACTTTCCTGGGACTGGACCCACATTACGCAAGCCCACGGCCCATTCACTTCAACCTTCAAACTCGAATTAAAGCTTCTCTTCCTACATTGCATTTATAAATCCTTCATTTCTTACTCAATCTTTCGATGTGGGATAATTACTTCACTTCCCCCTAAACCCAAAACCCTTAAAAACTCATTTTCATTTTTTTTGGAGAGAGGAACTACCGCCATTGTTGAAGCTTAAAGTGTGTTTTTAGAGAGAGAAACTACCGCCATTGTTAAAGGTTCTGTGAATTTTAGAGAGAGAAAGATGGATTTTGAAGATTTGGATGATCCGTTTCAAGCACCGAAGCCGAAACCGTCAAGATACGCGCCGAAGAATGCTAGGTTTCAGCCGAAGACGAAGAACTCCGGTGCGATGAAATCGGAGCCGAAGGTGGAGGTGAAGAAGGAGGAGGATACTACGGTGCCTGTTGCGGCGGCGAAAATGGATGTTGATAGTGTGGAGCTTAAAGAAGAGGTAATGGAGGAGAGAGAAATTCCGGAAACTTCGAATTCTATGGAGGAAGATGTTGAGGAAGATTGTGTTGTCGCTGAGTATGATGTTTATTTCACTCCTCGTGATCCTGCTACTCAGGTCAGAGAAGAATTTCTGATTTAATTCAATATTGGATTGAATTGTTGATTTTTTTTTTTTTTTTTGTGTGTGTTGAATCTTGATGAAAATATTGTGTTTATTTGTTTGGTGATGATTGTTGTAGTTGTATGTGCTGCAATATCCATTGAGACCGTCGTGGCGGCCGTATGAGTTGGAGCAGCGATGTACTGAGGTATTATTGATGAGGAATTTTGATGTTGTTATAATTGAAGTATGTTTTGTTTATGGAGATGTTTATGATGGAATTGTAATGGTGAACAGGTGAGATATAAGCCGAAGAGTGGAGAGGTGGAGGTCGATTTGTCGATTGATACGAATTCTGATAATTATCTCAAATCTGATATGGATGATGGAAAATTGGTCACGCAGGTTGGTGTTTTTACTAGTGTTTTAGTACTGAAAATTATGGAAGTGATTTGTTATTGGAGTCAAGTTTTGTTGGTTGTTGGATATAAATGGTGTTGAGTGCTTGATTTCGGATTAATGAGCTAGCACTTGATTGAATGTGCGAATGGACTTGGCTTCTTGAAACACTCACTAATTCACTATATGAACAAAAATCAAATATAATCACGCTAGGGTTCAATCTTTTGCGGTAGATGACTTTCTTTAATCTATGAGTCCGAAGTTCAATTATTGTGTACTTATATTGCTATTTGTTCACGATCTAGTACATGTTGGTGTGAATCTAATATTTTGACGAGCCTAGAGCCAACTATAAATGGTTGTCACTCATTCTATGAAGTTAATGAGCGAGCAAATGAAAAGATGTTTGTGCTTCTTATTGCAAGGGTTGAGAAATGCAGCTTAGCACTTATGCTTCACTTGACGTAGGTATATCCTCCCTTCATTCAATCATAACCTTGCTTTAAGGATATGCACTTAAATTATGGTCTTGTGCATTGTTATCAAAACTGGCTAGTAATATTTTCATAGGATGAGTTTATATATACCATACGTGTTTTCTGTATATTAGTGCAACTTGTAACAAGATTTTCTTCATCTATGTCAAAGATTTTGAGGTTTTCTAGGCAAGGGTAGTAAATACTAATGTTCAGGAGTTAATTCCTGAGTCAAAAGCCCCGAGTTTGCTTTGATTTTAATTATGTATTTTTTATCATTGAAAAGTTTCTGATATCTTTCCCATGATCTTTGTCATGCTTCCAGACTTTGTCGTCTTCATGCAGGCCACCTCAAACAACTAGTTATGCTGTTGGGGTGTTGTTTGGTAAGAAGGTATTCTTTTTCTATACTCATGCTCTGGACAGTATTCTAACTGCACTAGGTTTTTTTTAATTGACAATTTTGGAAGATATTCATCGTCTAATTAATCCAAATAAGACACTAGGATCATGTTTGCTGCAGATTGCTGTTTGGTTTAAATTATTACTTGTAAGAAGCACAGATTCATTTTTATTGATGGTAGTGACCCGTATTATTGTAAAAACGCTATGCATAGCTTCCCAGTTCCTGCAGCTAGCTATTTTACTGGAATCTATGCATAGCTCATGGTTTCAATAAACTTGTCTATATTACTCTTTTTCTTAAGATAGATTATCATTAACAGCTTGTTTGGATGGAGAGAAATGGAGGGTAGGGAAGGGGAGGGAAAGGAAGAGATGAGTTTTCCTCTATTTGGATAGCAAAAATGGGAGGTGAGGGAATTGGGAGGAAGAGAAATAGAAGGAAATTATTTCCTTCCACAATTAAGAAACAAATCTTTCCAAATTAGAGAATATTTGGAAGGAAAACTCTGCTTCTACAGGAACTAATCTCTCCAGTACCTACTGTTTGTCGCCTCCACCACAAGCCACGTCATTTTCCGCTGCCATATCCACCACATCATTCGCCGCCATATCCAAACTTTTCTTCTTCTTTTTAAAAATTCAAACTTCAGAATTTTGTTTTCTGAAATTGATTCAATAGTATAAAATTTTCAAATGTTGATATACAAATTTCTGGTTTTGATTTACAAAAATTGACTTTCTGGAAAAAAGGTTTTGATATTTGGAAATCAATTTTTAGAAAATGCGGTCTTCTTTTTCTAAAACCAACATTCAGAAATTTTTGTTTTGCTTTTCGAAAATCAATTTTGAGAAATTTTGGTTTTAATTTTCAAAAATCAATTTTCAGAAAATTTCATTTTGGAAAATCGACAAGGAAGAAAATTTGATTTTGGAAAATTTATATGTAAGAATTTTATATTTTGAAATTTTGATATGTGAATTATTGATTTTGAAAAATTGAGAACTTTAATTCATATTATCACAACAACAAACACATTAATTCAGCCATGGGTAAAATTTTCAAGAACAAGCAAATTTCCTCACTCTCTCTTTTTTCATTTTCTCTGTTTTCTTCACCCCTCCCCTTCCTTCACCTCCCCTTCCTTCATCTTCCTTCCTCTCCCTTTCCTTCCAAAAATTCTATCCAAACACAGTGGAAGTATGTAACCAGGCATTGATCAGTGCTGGACATTGATTAGTGCTAGTGATTTTTTTGTTTAATAGAGATAAATAAATTGTGGCATTAATAGTTATTACTATGGTGTAGCTTTTAAGAGTTTATTAGGATGAGCGCAGTGGTTACTTGGACTTCGCATTTGCGTAGGCTCCTTGCCGTGTAGTCTGCTATCAGATTGGTGACTTGGTGTTTGTGCATTTAATATTATAATGTGATTTTTCGACTTTTCTCTAGCTGTTACATAGACTTTCTCTATCCCAAAGTTATAGGCTGCTTTTAACTTTCAAATTTAGTAGACTTTGGCCATTAATTTCTGAAACAATAAATTAATCTACAATGTAAACATGCTCTCACTAGATTATTTCAACAAATATTTTCATTGTAAAAAATGATTATAAAGTCCTATATGACTTAATTTCTTTGAATAAAAAAACGTTTTGCTCATCATACCTATGCCTTAAAGACGTGATATAATTTTAAAGCAAGGTCTATTATTTTTTTTGATTTTGCAGCTATATCTGAACCCCATTCATGCAGTTGTGCAGCTACGACCGTCAATGGAATCTTTAGATTCTTGTGGGTCAAAGATAAAACAACCAAACGTTACTTTCAAAGAAGAAGGATCTAATAATAGTGCTGTTGCTGGGCCATCAAGGAAGGAGGTACTGATTTATATTATTGTATGGTAGGTCGACTATTAGGTTCTTTCAGGCTCAAAATCCTGCTCTATTTTGCATGTATAGAACTATAGACTTTGGAATGTATGTAGTATAAAAAATTTTATTGATATATTTCACCTGCTTTATTTTGTCCTTTCTTTCTTTTTGAGAATCCAGGTGGATTTATTTGTGCTGTGGAGAGTACTTATGTAAATTCCTTAGATGTGTTAATTCATTAAAGGAGCTTATAACTTTTGTCAAAGAAAGAACAAGTGATTATCTATATGGAGTTCTTTAGTTGAGGATGTCGGTTTCTGATGCTTCTCTAATTTTCAACTATATGATAATGAGGTTAGGTATGGCATTATTGGTTTTGAGGTTAATATCCGGAAAGGATTGGATGGATATTTAGATTTTAATGTCAAGCCCATGGAGTATTTAAAAGTTTGGTGTTTGAGGCCATCTTTTTGTGCTTGCTTTTTTTGTTACTCCATATTATTATTAATATTGAAACTCAGGTCTTGCTCTCTTCCCTTTGCCTGTGTCTATCTCCTCTTTCTTCCTTTTCTTTAATGATAAATATGGGAATTTATGAGATGATTTGGAGATTCAACGACTTCTGCTGTTTGATATTTTCCAATATGGACCATAATGAACTGAGATTTATACATGGGGAAGTTGGGTTTGCCTTCCTTTTAACTTTTAATTATTAATGGTTATTTATGGTATTGGGTTTCTTATGTTGAATTATTTTTAAGGGAGAGATTGGGAAAAAATTAAGAGGGTGCATATGGATGGTGAATAAGTTGATACAATGCTATGTTTTATATAATTGCTTTGGGAAAGTGTGGGTGAGAGTAGTTCTGATCCTTCAATTCTGAATAGCTCTTCTTTGGTGACAGTTTGGTTTTCAATTGAAGTTTTCCTTGTGGTATATCCTTGTTATCTCTAAGAGTAATTTCTTTCAGAAAGGGATCACATTTCACAATTTTACCATTTCCTTTTCAAAATAATGTGTCTCCCATATTCTCATATTCCTTCTGTTACTGTTCTTAGTTTATCTGAGAGGGTCATAGAGATATTTAGTCTAGCAATCAGGGATGGAAGGCAGGTCATCTGTGAGTTAAATTTGGGTGTGTAGGCCTGAGGGGAAGAAAATTGGCTTTTGGAAATTTTTGTAAAGCATTCTGATGCTCCTATGCATAGAGTGAAGGCTTAGGAATATTAGGTTCAAAAATGTTGCCAGTTTATCCTTGTTAGCCTTCTGCTGTAAAGGCCTCTGGAAGAAATCCATTAAGGTTGAAAACTAACGGAACGCAAAAAAAACTGTCTTGACTCTGTCTAATGTTGTAGACATTAATATGCCAATCTAGAACCTCCTTCGGTTTGCCAATCAGGGGTTTTGGTAAGAGAAGGGCCTGAAGGTTTATATTTGAACAACTATTGTATATGAGCAACTGTCTATTGCAATACAAATAATTACATGCAATAGATTGTAGCTTGTGCTTCAATTCCATTCAAGTAATTCATAGATTTTCCACTCTGAAGCAGTTGCATGTATGGAGAACTGGGTGGTAAGAGTGTTTTGTAATACATGGTCAACATGAGCCTAAAGCATATCTAATTGTATTTTTGTTATGATTTTTACCATATTTATGTTATCAGTATGGGGAAGCATTGAACACTATACATAAATCTTAAGAATCTTGCAAAGATCTCTCTTTTAAGTGGATAGCAAACTGTTATGGACTAAGTTTGCTGCTGTAAATATTGTAATCAGATTGTAAGATTAATAGGAAAGCTTGAGTCTTTTTGATTGAAACCAGCAAAAGGGTTTCAAGATAAATATAGCTTTAGGCTATAACTCTCAATGGCAGCTTGAGGCTACTAATCTCACATTCAAAATGTCACTTACTACTGCTCCTACCTTACTACTGCTCCTACCTTCCTTTATATACTCAAGCAACTACAATACCCTATCATTATTTGAAATTGTCCTACTACAAAAGAGAATCAGTTTGCAGGCTTCATGGTGCACCCTTTCATAGTGGAATGTTAAATAAATCTTGTCTGCTTCCCCTTTAGATGTCCTTGCTGTCCCTGCCACCTGTGACTGTTGCTGTTGGTCCCCTTCTCCTTGGTTTGGTGGTGTTGCTGCTGATCCCAGTCTATCCACACCATCAAGCTATTGGAAGCAAAGTCTCTAGCCTTCCTTTTTCTACTTCTTCCCTTTTAGCTCAATGCCTCGATCTACAAGAAGCAAGCAGAGTTTTAGAATTTAGAGATAGAATTAGGCTTCATGATCTTCACCATGCTTTAGGAAGTTATTTTTGTTAGAATCAAATCCATTAGACCTAAAAGATTCAAACTAGATCATATCTTCTTGTGAAGTTTACTTAGTCAAATATTTTGCTTTTGTAATAGTAAAATTTATGAAAAATAGATAATGGAAATTACACTTTGAGACAAATCTAACAAAATCTTCAATTATGATGATTTTCTTAATAATCAGCGTAAAAATACAATCTAAGCTCATTCAAACTGAGGAATAATACACCAGACTAAATAGATAATAAACAGACCCGATCATCTTATTTTAGGTGAAGGGGATAATTACAAAGCTTAGAACCAATATATGTAGTGAAATACGATAAACAAATAGAATTTCTATCATACTGATGGGAAACAATGAAAACTTAATTACAAAATAAGCAGTATCTAGAGTCATACTACTTGAAACTAGTTTAACAAAATTATGTTGTATCGTGGCTTGATGATTCACTTAGAACGGATAGAAAGAGATACCTTCAATTAATTGAACCTTCGATCTTTTGGAATTTGTTCCCGATTGAGGAGCACAATTTCCTCTGGAATGGGTTTTGCATTCAGGGGGAAAAAACACCCATGGTTCTATCCTGGTTGGTGTTGATGATTTCCACATTTTAGGCTTAATGCTGTATAAAGTATTGATATGTCTGTAGATTTTCAAAGGTGCCTTATTTTTATTGCAGATTTTGGTAAAAATTGTTTGTATTTGTTTTGATCAATGTATAAAAAAGCTCAAGGCGCACTGAAGCGAGAGGGGTTCTGCTGCGCCTAGGTGCACCTCTTTGAAGTGAGGCGCAGTATATGGGCAGTTAAAAAAAATTGGCTGAAGTTTGCTTCAAGTGCGCCTCGGGCGCTTTTTGTGCGCCTAACCCAAAACGCCTCACCCAGACCAAATTAAGCACTCACCCCTGATCGCCTTGCGCCTAAGGCACCTGAGGCACGCTTTTCAAACACTGGTTTTGATTCCTGTATTATGTGCTGTAAATAAAAAGTTTGAATTATTTTTTCAAGCAAGTTTTCTTTAATCTATTTTCACATACATGCTTACGTTATAATTTCTGGGGCTGTTCTGATGTGCAGATGAAACAAATGGATCCAGAAGCTGTGGAGGTAGGAAAATGATTGTCCTTTATTTCAATTGATAGCTTACATCAGTTTAGGCACATCTTTTGACTTTAAGTATTCATTGATTTGTTATACTGCTACTTGAACGTTGTCTGGAAGTTTTGAAACAAACTGAGTATAATCTATAAGTGAGAAAATTCCTTGGTGGTAGATATTGTAGTGTGTCCTCTCTTAGCATTTGATTATTGGTTAATTACAGCTCTGTGTGTCCCTGTTTGACTTGATTTTGTTATGTTATTGCTTAACATTTGTTAGTATGTGTGCATGATAAGCTTCTATACTTTGAGAAATGAGCTTTGTTCCTTTACCAAGTACAACTTATGGATTATTCTGCCTGATTAAATGCAGCCATGGACTTCCCTCAAGTATCACAGCTCAGCTACTGGACTCGCAGAAAAATATCTGAGGAAGATGGTGACAGAACAGAAGGATCCATTGCAGTTTTTGATGAATCCGTATATCTTCTGCCTCCCACTGTTGGTTTACTGTTATTATTTTTTTACTTGAGTGCTTAATATGGTTAACAAAGAAAACTTAAGAACCAATAACTACATCCAATGGCGAGAATAAATTGGGTTGTCATTAAAATCGTTTTTTCCCTTGTTTTTGAATTTGTGTGTGTCTGTATTCTTGTTATATGGATGATGATCAAGTTTCTTTTTAGGTATGATTACGTAAACTCCTTGTGTCCTAAAGCGGTGATCAACAAGATGACATCAAGAGGACCATCTAAACGGTATGCTATCAAAACTCTGGTCCTCCTTTTGTACATCTTACATCTGTGGTTGGTGTCTTGTTATATACTATTATTTGAGTTCTTGGATGTTGAAATTTTCATGGCCTGTGCATTAAAATGTATTCCTTAAAACTTTGTTGTTTGAAAATTTTAAGTTGGATTTTGCAAATTATAGGTTGATATAAAGATCTACTGCTTAAGCTGGTATGTTTTGTCTGGTTGATTACCCCGGAAGGTGTTTTTGAAACACAAGCTACATCTCTTCCATTTGCAACATAAATACTAAAAGTTGGTGAAGTAGAATTCTGAGGCAGTGAAACTAAAATTATCTGGAAGTCCCCAGTGGTTTTCTTAGATCTATCACAATTATAGTATACATGAACCCACACCTTGATACTTTCTGTCCTTGTGTGTGTGGGAAATTGTAATTGGGCTGGTATGCATGCATCTAGACGACTTAGTTTTTGGGTTAAAACAATAAGGTCTAATGAAGTTAGCAGTCTTTGTCTTTTCAACAATCTAAATCTATTGACGGGATTTTACTACTTCCTCTGTCCAAGGTAAACTTGGGAAGCTGCTAAGTTACAATCTTATTAGTCCCCATAATTGCACTACCTGAAAAAAAGGAAGGAAGAAAACAAGACTTAAAGACGTTGAAAGAGGGGGGGGGGGGGTACTTTTTGATGGCCACTGCTTGTGCTGGTTGTATATGTCTTCCGCAGTTTATAATTGGTTTGTTGCTATTATCTTGTTTGGTTGAGGTATACTTATGGTAATGTGGAGGTTTTGGTTGATGCAGTTTTTTGCTTTCCCTTCCACTGGAGGAACGAATTAAGACGTTGCTTGTTGAGGTTTGATCTGCTATCCGTCTTATAAATTGAGTATTTTCTGTGGCTCGAATCAGTAACATAATTATCTAGGTTACTGTACCCTGCTTGTGTGTGTCAATGCATGTTGTTGAACCTGCACAACCTTTGGCAAGTAGCAGATGCTTTTCCCATTTTCTCTACGCATGACTGATCACTATGAGTGATGATGACTTTTTGTGATGTAACTTTTGTTTTGTGGTGTTGACAATGACGCTGATTACAACTTTTGCAATTTAATTATGGTAAGCCAGTCAAGAAGTTACACCTAATTTTATAAGCTCTCCCTCTAAATTATGCTTGCAACAAATCATATTGCTAAAATTCTTTAAAGAGGGGGAGTGTAGACAAGGGATTTTGAGAAGCAGGGCAGGGAATCTAGAGTTGAGACATGCATCTGTTATAGTCATGAGAGGGGATTGACAATGAGAATTAATAAATGGTAGTTGGTTTATTCAGTTGGGAAAAAACATTGAGCTGATTTTTGACACTGGAAAGTAAATATATGCTTAAGAAACAGCCTTTTGTTGAGACCTTAGAAGTCCCCTCTCCATTTGTTTAGAAAGATGCACTTTCTGATTTTTTTTCTGAACTCGGCATGGATTCCATATTTTAGGGATTATAGAGTAACACTCAATAGGATTATGCTGACTAGTATAATACCCAAATTTAAAAAAAAAAAGAATGACGTGGGTCTATCTTTTAATAAATTAGTATAAGTAAAAAGATGAGAGATTATTGTTTGTATAGTTTAGGCCACTGATGTCCTTGATTTTTGGTGTAAAATTGCTTACCAGCTCTTCTGAGACGATTTCACCTGGGTCAATAGATCTGGTCAATGACAGATTGATATGACACCTCACAAGAACTCATGTAGAGCATTTTGAACTGCTCTATTGTGCCCTAGGTGATGCTGTGAGCTTACATCTAGCAGAACCTTAAGAAATGTATTTTTGAATTTGGATGTGTGGAGTTGCACTCTTGTGCATAATGTCAGATTTTACTTTGTTAAACATGATAATCTCTATGGTCATGGACTCTGAGATGATGACTCTTGTCACCAGATGGGGTGGATTTAATTTATTAAAAAGTAATCATTATAATAGAACAATGTGTTTTGCTTGGGGGGGAATAAATCTGGCAAATTGTGTTATGTATGTCCACTTATTTTCTTATGCTATAGTATTTCTGTATTGTTTTGCACACATATTAAAGGTTTTTTTTTTTTTTGGGGTAGTATTCTATTGATATTGAAAATTGATTAGTAACAAAACATTGACATTTCAGTGATAGGTGATAATAAAACTTAGGTGAATATGGATTGAGGGAGTACATGTTACCCTTGCATGCAAAACAAGCACCTGCTTTTTTTAAATTGGGCACTATATCTGTTTTTTTGTTTATGTTCCTCTTTGGTGAAACAAGCAAAAACAATCTTGGAGAAAATAAAAATTAAAAAAATATGCTTTTGAGCTTTAACTTTCAAAATGTTTCAGGGACCTTCTATTCAGCGATTTATTGCGATTAAGCATCTTGCGCCTGATGACCCTGTTGAAGAAGTTCTTGAAATCCTTCAAAAATATGCTCATTTAGTACAAGGCCTCTGGGTTCCAAAATCTAGCATCCGGCATCCAAATGCACGTGGACCAGAAATTTTAGCTAGAGATTATGCTCTTCTTCTGTTCAGCCAGAGACCATTCATAAAAGACACAGAATTAGATGTCCTGGGATCCCAGAAATCTACTGGGAAAGTTGTACTAAGAGAATTAGCTGTTGAGAGACCATCCTGTAAAGATTGGAAGTTCAAAGAGGCTACAGATGTTTCGTTTATGAAACTTCATCCAGATGTTGTCGAGAAACAAATGAAGCTATGGGAAGTTAATGGGCAACTGATACAACAAAAATTCGCCAATCGTAAAGCAGGGCAAGGTTCGAGAAGCTCCAACAGACCTGGATCCTCAACGCCTTCTGATGAAGGTGCTGTGAGAGCAACAACTGTGGCACGCTCTGCAAGCACTTCCATGTCAAAAGAAACTCAAGAAGCTCTACCTAAGGTTTTGAAAAAACTTTTCCAATCACACAAAGTTTGCAGGTAAGGATTTCCTATATTTGTGACCTGAATTATACTCCTTAAGCTTTTTTTTTTGTAAGTAAGTGACACATTAGATTCTGCTTGAATTTTAGGAGAATTATATAGGGTGCATAGGTGGTGTGCAGGTCGTCTTATTTCTCTCAACTTATATCACTGCTTCAGAAGTTCAGAGATAAAAGATGGCCATGGTACTTAGCAGAGTAGAGAGAGTATTTATAAGTGTATATACTCCCTCCAACTTAAGTAAAAGTTGGAACTTTACTCTAATAATAAATCTGGTTAGCTTGTGCCAAAAAAAAAAAAGTTAAACCGCCAGTTATGTTCTTCAAGATAACTAGAATTCCGGGAAATTAATCTTATCTAGTATCATATCAACCACTTTTTTTTCGAAACAAAAGCATCGTAATATTGCATGTTTCACATATTGAAGGTGGTTGCAGTCATAAGTGGACATATTTTTGAAAAATCTCTGAAAGGTTTGATCGTTTTTAACTTATTATTTTGAGTTTTTGTTTTCATAAATATAAAAATTACAATATAAAGCCATGTGAATACTTGGACCATCATCCTCATTATCTATTTATTACTTAAATATAATTCAATGCGGTTTGGCATACTCTCAGACCACCATCCTAGTTTTCAGTTTATTGTGATTTGTACATGATTTTGGTCATCATTCTCATCATCAATTGCTTTTGATAACAGAGCTAGATAATGACTGCTATACCATTTTGACAGCTTTCAAACAATTTGCCGAGGTCTGAGGGACATGGCAGTTTCTATGTCTGCCCTCCCAAAGGCTGATGCCAGAGCTGCTGTGGCTGCTGCAAAGGGTGTTGATGCCCCTCAAGAAGAGCTTCATGCCGCTATATGTGAAATCGCGTATAATGTCCACGGTGTCTATATGTTGAAATCATCTTCAGAGCATCCAGAATTTGATCAATTGAGGTTTTCTTTTTCTTATCTTTTTGCATTATATAATATTTTATTTGAAGCTAGGAACTATAGTAATGAGAGGTTGTTATGGCATGAAGCTTCGTGGTCACTATATCACATTAATTATTGGGGTGATTCCATGTGCATGGTCCTTTGGAAAAAAGGATTTTGGAAAGGTCTGTCTCTTGATAGAACATTGAAAAATATTTGTCAAATTTTTATGCTGCGTTTAGTGAGTGCATCATCCATCTAAGTTAGCATATGCCTGTAATATTGATAGAGAAACAAGGAGGATGGGAAAGACATGAAGTGGGGAAGGGAAGGAAAGGGGATTACCTCCCCTCCCCTCTCTTCTCGCCATTTGTTTGGTTTCCTTTCACCTCTATTAGGGTGCTGTGGACTTGTGGCCACCTGAGAGCAATTACCTTTTGAAAAGGAGATCTTTAAAATATATCAATTGGCTATTCAGCCTCTATGCAGTGTCAACTCTCAAGAATTTCTTTTCATTGGCAATAAAGATCAAAAGGCATTCTTTTTTACTAGTTTAGCTTCTCCCTTCAGATTAGTCCTCACAAAACCCACTCTTTTAACAGATTTGTAAGTAAGCATACATTTGGCTGTTATAAAAGAGGGCATTTCATTTTTATTTTGAGCTATCCATCTTAGTAGCGATTCAGAATCCTCTCATTTTCCCTGCAGAAAATTAGTTGTTGACCTTTTTCTTGGAAGCTGGCCTAATGCAAAGCTTAAGAAAGGTGAATTTATGGAAGCTGCTAAAATCAGACTTCAAAAGGAGCCCAGTAATAGTGAATTTCAGAAGGTCAGTGCTATTCTTTTTGTACAAAAAATATTTCAGAATAGTGATTTACCAATTTGTGACAATAGTGATTTCTTATACAAGTATGATTGTACAGTCTGATTTTATGAAGAGAGATGCATTAATTTTGTAGGGAAGATAAAATGAATGGAATGAGCATTGTTATTAGGAAAATTGGCATAGGAGGAAAAAATAAAACAATCGAAACTATAGAATGTGAGTTTAAGATTAAGAACTCAGCATTGCCAACTTTCAACATACTTTAGTACCTCTTTATGTATACAAAATTGATATGACTCTTGCTGATGGTGGAATATTTCTAATAAAATTTGAATCAGTTTTTTTATTTTAAATTCCATATCGTAGCAAAGTCTTGCTTACTCTGTATGCCTTGTGCCTTATACTTTGTATCTGAATAGGAAGTTGGTTACGACACTGGCTTAATTTTATCTATGCGCTAATTATATTTTCTTCTTATTGTGGTAGGTCATAACTGAATTATGTGTATCAAAGGGAGGGGCTTGGGTGCTAAAAAGTGGCGATGGAGTCCCCAGTTGACCAATTAACTTATCTTGAAAACGATGTAGAGGATGCAAGAATACCAGGTATAAGATATTGTACTGTTATGAATTTATGATACTGCTTTACGTTGTCCAAAAAAAAAAAAAAAAAAAGATACTGATTTAATTGTGCTTTTCTCTGCAACCCGATCTACATGTTCATCAAATTGAAATGCTGAGTCTTGCAGTTTTGTTGCTGCTGATATTGTCCTGCAAAAAGACTTGGAGGTATCAAATGGTGAAGAAAACCATAGAGCTCATATAGTACTGCGTTGCAAAGATGGGGTGGACTTGATTGAGGATGGGAAGACAGGCCATTGAGCTAGGCAGTATAAATGAAGCACTAACCATCATTTTTTTCGCGGTAGGGGTAGAGGGTCCTGCTAATTGCTAATTGCTAGTTGGGAAGTACATGATGCAGCCGTAAATATTACTATACTAGTTTTCAATCCAGTGCAACCTATCGATAGTGAATTATTTGATGATTACGAATAACAGTGATTTTGAGGGTTTCTAATTTGATAACCGTACCAATTTTTGCCAAAAAATAGTTAGTATGAGTATTGCCTTATTATAATTTTTCTTATATTCTTGCCTACCCCCTCCCAAACACCCTTTCTCTCCCCGCGTACGGTCGCATCAGCAATACCCAATCAAACTCCCCCTCTCCCTCACTCTTCCACAATGTTATGGGTGATAATGTTATAAAATAATTCCTAAGTTCGACTCAATCAAGGCTTGACTCAATTTCGATGATCCTAGATCAAGCAATTCTTATAATTCAACTTGAAAAGCTAACGAGAATGTCAAACTTTGTATGTATAGTATATTCAACATTTTAATAAAACAAAATATTTTGAATTTTTTTGGATTTTAATTACTAGTATTATATTGTATTTGTTTAATCTTGTTATAATTTATAAAAATCTATTTGATGTATTACTATATTATTCGGAAAATAAAGTGGCTGATTTCGTTCACTCAATATGATGATAGAAAGTTTTAGCCTAAAAGGATGTAGTTGCATGACAGTTAATCATGGGATGTTCAGCGTCCACCACAGAGTCGCAGACCTTTGATTGTCTCGCTTAGGGGTCTTATGATGGGAGTCGAGTTCGAGTTTGGGGTAGCTCGACTTGACTCTTTAACATATCGAGTTGAGGTTTAACCGAGCTTTGATCAAATTTGACCGAGTTGAGCTTTAACCGAGTCGATCTCGAGAAGCTTGCAACTTGATCTGTGTTAGTAGAACTCTCTATTTAGTGGAACATCTCTTCATTCTCTTTAATTTTGTCATTTGAGAAATACACATATGATTATACGAGTAAATAAGTAATATTTATTTATTAATTATTAATGTAACATAAAGTTTTTTATCAAAATGTTTTAATTATTAATAAATATAATATTATATAACGGAATTTGAGCTTCTTACGAGCTTTCGAGTCGAGCTACTTGACTTGACTCATTAACATTTCGAGTCAATCTCGAGCACGAGTCGAGTTTTGACCGAGTCGAACTCGAGTAGCTCGCGAGTTGTCTCGTCTCATAAGCACCCCTAGTCTCGCTCCTTAATGATCTTTATTTTATTTTTTTAATTCTGTTTTTTTAGTTTTTTTGGAATTCTGCTACACATAAGTAATTTGGAGTTTTTAAATCGATGCTACAGGAGATGTGTTGGTTGGTTGGACCAACAAACACACTTTTCATGGATGGAATATCGATTAGTTTGGACAGTATTTCACATATGAGATTGTCAATTCAATCAGGCAATCTATACATATTGTGTATAGAACATTTCTCTCCTTCGGCTAGCTTCTGAGACAAGATCTCCTTGATGATAATATGTTTCTTGTTGATCGACCAATCATGTAACAAGGTCTTTGAGAATATGTGATAAAGTTCAGCTAGCTCCTTAGACCGAGACATATGACCTCTTTTATGATATTATATTTGTTGTTGAGGAACAAATTGTGTAGGAAGGTCCTCGAGAATATGTGTTAAGAGTTCTTTGAATTCATGGGCTTCAAGGTCTTTAGAGTAAAGGAGTTGCTGACTTTTTACACTTGTCAATGCATTATTTTGGCCATTAATATTTTTATATTATAATTTAGTTAAAAACTATTAAAAGCTGATATTAAAAAACAGATAGCAAGACGAATTTAAGTAGATCTCACATAAGAACTTTCTATCCTTTTAGTAGAAATTCAAAAGTTTAATTTGAGTTTTAGACGAACCATAGATATTAAGACAAATTTTAGTGAAAATTTGAGGTAAAGAGAACAAAATATATAAGCCTTTTTATACTTTGCAAATGCTTAAAATAAGAGAGAGGGAAATTAACCGGAGGAAGATACAAGGATAAGATTTTAAAAATTGAAATCATAAGAGTAAGAGATATGGCCAAGAGGAAGAGGATTCGGGCCTACTAGGACATTAGGTAAAAAGCACTATATGGGACCATTTACATAGTGTGAAGAACTGATAAAAATTACTTTGAGAAATATTTTGAAATTCATGAAGATGTATAAGACAATTGAAAAGAGAAAAGTGAAGGGAAAATAAGGAGCATACGAGTGAGAAGGGGAGATACAAGTACAATCAACTTTGTATTTTTAAAGCATAGACAAATGTCATAGTATAATTGATTTTAGGAAAATTTTGTTTTAGTAATCCCAATGTTGGACGATTTTATTTTTATAATACTAATTTTCAATTATTTTGGAATAATTCCAACTTTAGAGCGTGTTTTCTTTGGTAAAAAAAAAATAAAATTTTTTGTCACATGTCGAATGCTAATTGGTCCAAAAAAAAAACCTAGCCACCAACCACTGCAGCCCCACCTCCTCCCTCCCTAGCCCCACCAGAAACCACCTCCCTTCCCTTGAACTTACTCGCAATCCTACCCCTTCCCCCAAAACTACCCTCACCCCTTCCTCGAAACCACTACCTCAACCTTCCCCCAACCCACCACAATCTCACCCCCTCCCCCAAACCACCGACTTACCTCCTTCCGCTGAAATCATCGTAGCCCCGCCCTTTTTCCACCAAAACCACCACACCTGATTTTGTGAAATTAAACGGATATGAGGTAAAAGTTGAAGGTTTATTTTGCTAATTAAATTAGGGTAGCTTACATCGTGTAATTTTAAATTAGGTTGGTTTATTCAACTTTTAACCCACACCCGAACATAGGTTCATTTTCAAGGGGGTTTCGGGTGCGGAAAGCACTACACCCGATTTTGTGAAATTAAACGGGAAGAAAGTGGACAAAATCTCCCTTCTCTTTGTCTCTCTTTCTCTACCCCCTTCCTCCGTCCTTCCAACCTCTTCTCCCTTACACCCATCTTTTACAACTTTAAGGGTCAAATTTTGTCCTAGATTTAGATCAAGAGTGCTCCAAACTCAAAATTATATAGATCAAACAAAGCTTAATAATTAAACATAAATCTAATCAATTAAATTGAACAAAAGTAGTGTATGCACATTATATTCACATTACAGCTCTACTGTACATAAAAAAGTCAAAAGCAACAAAAACTATTTTATATGTTCGATTCAATTCTATTACAAAATTAGCCACCTACTTAACATAACTATAAAGGAACTTAGCTTAAAACCCCATACCTATACATATCATCCATGATCTAAGCTACCCTAATTTAATTAGCAAAATAAACCTTCAACTTTTACCCCATACCCTGATACATTGCTTCCAAAAAGAGGTCATACTTTAAACCCTTACATCATTTAACTCTAACCCCAAATATTCATATAATACATTCTTTCGAAATCATCAATAGAATGATTATCATTGTATGAATCATACTCAGATTCCTTTGAAAGTCAAATCGGTGAATCGGGCTCATACTAGTCCACATCTTTCTTACGCTTAATCCTCTTTTCCTCTCGAATTCTAGCATCATCAAGTTTCTTTGCAGCCTCCTTTTTCTCTTTAACTTTGGTAGCCAACTGTTCTTTACGTTCTTCTTCATCCACTATTTCCTTAAGCTTCTTCTTCTTAGCCATAGATTCGTCAACTATAGTTTGCATACCAGCTTTACCTTCATTCATAAAAAACTTCAACCCCTCCCACTCCTCTTTGCTTCTTTTCTTCTCTTCCTCAGTAACAACTTGTTCAACTCTCTTACTAATGGTACGAACATTGCTTATTAGCTAGCTTTTCAAACCCAGACTTAGTTTGATCAAAAGGTACCTATGTAACTAAACAAGGTTGTAAGTCTAACTGGCTAATACAAGAGGGGGGGTGAATTGTATTTGAGGTGAAATCTAAAAACTTTTTGCGGAATTTAACTAAATGAAATAATGACGAGAGAAGATATAGGCTTTTCTAAATTTCCACTATGTAATCAAACTCTGTACAAGTGAAGATTCAAACCCGTTAACAAGTTCCCCAAATTAGGAACTTGTTCCCAACTCTCACAGAAGACTTCAGCAACGAAGCTTCCTTAACCTCACCTTACAAACTCACAATCCCAACCCCAAAGTACTTGTATACAATCTGTGATTACAAATACCTATTGCACTCAAGAATATATGAAGGAAAATAACTCTCTTTATGTTATTAGATGGCTACTGGAATTTTTATGCTTAAGAGTTATGTTTTTCTGAGATAGTTTGCACGAGTATTTATAGAGAAGGCTTAGTCATTAACCTCCACCATAATCACGTCCACATGTCAACAACCCACTAACAACTTGTGGAGTTATCTTGACAGATTGTGATCATGAAGAGGTTTCCTAGCCTTATCTAATTAAACCACTATCCTAACAACTTGATAACCATTAGCCGTATAAAAGATTTTCTCACAGAAAAACCACTTGCTAACTTTATCAAATATTTTATTTAAAAGATTATCAAAAGTTTGTTTAAAAAGATTTTATTTGAAAAGATAAATTTATTATTTATTAAAACAACTAGATAATTATCTTCGATAATTATCTTTATTAAAACTTTTACAAATTATCTTTTCTTTAAGAAATTATCTTTTAAAACTAACTTTTATTCCAGTAGTCTTTAACATAAGTCATTGATTTCCTTTCCGACTTTATATTATTGAGTGCTCACAATTAAAACTAGAACGTGAGATTTGCACGAGGCTTTTTAAAGAATGCTACTCCGCATCCAAGTTCCTACTCCGGAACGAACTTTGCTTGAATCCTTTATTCACCAAAGACTCAAAACATTCATTAGTCGAGTTTGTCAATTTGTCCATCAAAACCAAAAGGCTCAACAAATTCCCCCTTTTTGATGATGACAAACATTGACAAACTTAGGTAAATAAAATCATCCAGGCATGCAACAAAAATTTAAAGTAAGGCATGAAAACAAAAAAACAATTAAAGAACTTAGAAAAATATTAAAAAGTATTTTTTTTTTTTTTTTTTTTTTTATTATTATTTTTTTTTTTTTTTTTTTTTAAAAAAAAACTGAGCAAAAGAAAAATTAACAAAGACTTTAAAAACTGAACTTAGCAAAAGTTTGTACCTTCGATGTGTGAGTTCCTTGGTAAACACCTTAGCCGCCATGAAGTTTGTCTTTTTCCCCCTT